CCGGGGCGATGGAAGGTGTCCTTGCCCATGGCAGGGGGTGGCACTGGGTGGGCTTTAAGGTCCCTTCCAACCTAAACCATTCTGTGATTTTATGGCATCCCCACATGCCAAATGCCTTTGGCCTTATTCGGTCCTCCAGACAGTAGGTTTCTCCAGAGGGAATTTGCCTTCTTTTGCAATTAGCTTCTTTACAGTTTGGGAATTTGCTTCTTTAACAGTTTGGTTATGGGGAATGCATGGACTGCTTGTTCTGGCAGTTCTAGGTCAGGTCTGGAGGAGGGAGGTGAGGTTTTTGGCACCCACCTGGTGTTTTTCCAGGAGCAGCCGGGCGATGTCGACATGCCCGTTCTGGATAGCATCCATAAAGGGAGTGACTCCACATTTGTCCCTGCTGTCAGGTTTGTATTGGCACCTGGGAAGGAAGACAAAAGCCAAGAAAGGGTTGTTGGCAGCTCAAAAATCCTTTCTGCACCAGTTGCTTTGCAGCGGTGGGGCAGGAGATGGGTGAGATTGGAAACAGCAGATATATAAAGCTTGTCCATAGACAATGCACAAACCCGTCTCAGTGCCTTATAGCCTGGGGTACAGTCTGCTGGGGATTTTTGGTTCGGAGAACAGCCAATGCAGCTTGCTCAGCTGCACAAAAGCTGGGGCTCTATACATCATTTCTATTTATTTCCCTTGGCCCCCAAACACAGGATCTCTGGAAGAGGTAAGGTGTGCACAGGCCTTGCACTGGCAGAGGAGAAAACCATATCCTCACGTAACGACGCCATGTACAAAATCAAAGCCCACAGGGCTCGCTCAGGTCAAAGCTCCATTGAAATGAGAGAAGACTGAATTAAAATTAAAAGCCCGGCTCAAATCACAGGGCTATGTTTATGCTGGGCCAAGTATGGACAGGAATTAACAAGGCTGGGACGAGCTGGCTAACAGGAGCTGCGACAAGCAGCAGCTGCGACGCACGGGGAAAACCGCTCCAGCGCTGGGAGCAGGCAGTGCTGGTTAGGAAGGTAACAGGGTCAGGATGACTGGGCACAGGCTGATTCAAAGCCACTTCACAGCAGTCTCCCAGGAGTCACAGCCTGAAAACAAAGCCTGAAGGCTGAGAGCAGCCTGGAGGAACTGCACCCAGAACCAAGCTGCCAGAAAATTGTTTTGTTGTTATCATATGGCCTCGGACACGTTGGAGGCAACAGGAATGAATCAGCACAGAAAAAGAGCAGAGTTACATAACGGGGCTTATGTCATAGCAAAGTCGGAGTCCGTCAGAGCCCCTTCGGAGAGTGTCCTTGTCTCAAAGGCCCCTAAATGGCCATGATAAACCCGGAGGAACCGGTGACAGCCTCGGGAGCGCATGCAGGGCAGCTGGGCTCCCCGAACGGCATAAACACCCTTTGTGTCCAGGCGGCTGGAGCGAGCTGGGCGGTGGACGGGAGGCGGGGGAGAGCGGGGAGGCAGAGGCAACACCGGGAGGACGCCTGCTTACCGCTCCAGCAGCAGCTCCACAACGTCAAAACAGCCATGCATTGCTACAAGAGAGAGAGGAAGCACGGGGTTAATTTATGTTCTCACGCCACCATCCACCTATAGTGAAACGTAATGGGGTTTCTGACTCTTTTAGCTTACACATGATGCAGGAAGGAGTTCCAAGAAGCTTTAAATTCAAAGCTTTTCATTATTTTTTGTAATTAAAACATTGTGTCTAGCTCTCAAGCCCTCCCTTGCCCGGATCCTATAGGAAAACAGCAAATAAATCAGGGAAAAGGCACGCATATAGGCAGTGCTTGCTTCTAACTGCAGAGTGCATGCATGAGACCATACGTGCAATTAATCTGACACAAAGATCTTTTCTTGCAAGTATTAGTTAATCCCTGCAGTGAAATCTCTGAGAAGCAAACTGAACACAAAGCAGAGAGCTGGTGAATAGCCGAATGGCATTTCTACCCCTCCTCAGCCACTCAAGAGTACCCACCGCTCCCATCTCATCATCCTAATGAAGCATCCTCACCCAGACAGCATCTCAGCGGAAAAACAAGAGTGGGGGTGGATTTGAACATCACACACGGAAATACTCTCTGGTTTTTAAAACACATTGTATTACAGCAATATGCAGACAGCCTTCCTTTGGCTTTTTTTTTTTTTCCTGGCAGGTCATTTTGCAAAACGAATGAAATACATTAAAGAAAAAAAAAAAAAAAGCCGACCAAGCCCGGAGCTGCTACATCAGGCTATTTACTCTGTGGGATGAAAAAAGGGCCCCCAACAAATGTGTGTTACCAGCAATAACCTTCAGACGCAGCTGCACAATAGATGCTCTTTGAAAGCCCAACGAGGGGTTTCCATCCTCCCAGATCTCAGCTGTTTGCTCCTGATTCCTGCCCATTTATCCCTCCTTCACCTGAGCTGATGTAAATACAGAGCCACACTGTGAAAGGGATTTTCAAAATGGAGGCTTTAAAAAAAACCCAAGCTGTGTGAAGAAAAAAAACACCCCAAGCAACACGATTACATCCTTTAAACAGCAACAGAGCCACAAGAAAGCTGCAGCGCTCAGATTCACTGTTGCACTCCACTTCCTCTAATTACATCTCCCCCGCTCTCTTGCCTCAGGCTACGGATATATGAAGCAGCAAAGCTTGAGGAATCAACCCCCCCCCAAAAAAATTGCACAGAGGAGAAAATTACCCATCATCTATCCAGGGATAACTGTGACAGGAAGCCAGCTGGACTGGTCACGGGTTAATGTGCTCACATCCACCCCCTTGGGATGTAAACTTGTTGAGATGGCCGTTCATCTTGACATGATTTCCCCCGGCAGCGCCGTCTCTGGCCCCTCAGCCGTGCCCCCAACTCTGGAGCTGTGTCTGTGTAAGTGGGCTACGTGCTGGGGTGCGTGAGGATGATAAAATTATGCTGGGGGTAAAGGTGGTTTAAGCAGCTCCAGCCCTTCCCGCCGCCCAGGCGCTCCTGCACAAGCTGCTGCTCCACCAATGTGTGGTACAGGCTCTAACCTGGATCAGTCAAATGACCAGAAATCAACCCAAATCACGGGCTAGTGGCTTTACCACTGGGAAAGTCAAACGTGGGAGGACGCTCAGAGATGGAAATACCTCTATAAGGCAGTGAGAGCCGTGCGCTGGATCCCACCATCCCTGTCTGTACCCCCATATCCCGAGTGCTACGAGACAGAGGGGAGACATTTAGCTCAAAACCACAGTTCTAGCGCTGCTCCTGACCCTGCCCGCAGACCCTCAACCCCCACACCAACCTCTCTGCAGGCAGAGGGCTGAGAGGGGGCTGCGAGCCCAGCCTGCCAGCCCAGACATGGAAACACAAGACAAGGGATTCAGCAGGGACAGGAAAAAGCACAAATAAACAAGGATTAGCCATTTCTCATCCAGACAACCTGCTCCTCGCTGCCCAGCCTGAAACGTCAAACAACTCATCAGCTATTTCTCATTCCCAGGTCAAGCACAAGGACTAAGGCACAGCCAATGCCCCAGGGCTGGGCCTGTCACTGCTGATGAGCACAGCGCAGTGGACGGGCGGCTACTGAGGGCCGGAGAAGTAACGGGAACGACAGCCAAGGAGCAACATACTCAACAGATTAATTACAGCACAGCAGGGATCTCCTCACGACACCTCGGGTCTTTCCAGAGAGTCTATCCCTATTAAATTCTGTGGGAAACCAGTTTCGGTATCCACAGCTTTGAATGGTGGCTCCCCACCCTTTGGGTCTCCTGTGGAGAGACCGCAGACCCCCTGCACTCAGCCAAATCCCCACTCAGGGATGGGTCACGTTTCAGATTCAGGTCCCACCTTCCAGCCCCAAGCCTGCCCCACAGCATGACCCTCACTTGCTGTCACATACCTCTCCCTTCACCCACTCACTTTAATAATACCAGGGATTTAAGACCTGGGAAGACACATTTTATCTGTACTGCCTGGCTTGCACAGGTCTGTGGGCAATGAAACACTGTGAGACAAATTTAATTCTGCATTAGCATATTTTTGGGCCATTCACCTTATTAAGGCTCAGAGGACTTTGCTGAGGCACACCCTGTGCATCATTCACAAATTAAAATGAATCATTCCCCCATCTTAAGGATGAAAGAGTCAGAAAGTCAGAAACCAAATCCAAGCTGCCTCTGAGACAGCGTTCAGCTACATCCTTCTGGTCCCCACCATGTCTGCAGGTGATGTCTGTGGTTCCCCAAACCAATTCACTCCCTTTATATGTCCTTTTAAACCAATGAAAAGGGCAAAGAAAAGGAATTGGATAGCCTGGGCTTACTACCTTCTTAAAATAAATGTGAAAACACAAAAACCTGTGCTGCTTCTTCCAGAGGTTGTGCCTAGAGACCCCAAGGTTCTTTAGATCTGACCTAACCCACCAAGCACACGCACAGAAACGGATCATTTTGAGAAATGCATCTTAACAAAAACTGATGACCACTGTAAACCAAACTAGTAAAAAAAAAAAAAATCATCAACAGGCAGGTCTCAAAAAGGTGCCTCTCAGCAGCTCTGCTGGTTTTAGGATTTTTTTAAATTCCAGGATATGCTTGGAGCCTTGCAGGTTTTCCAAGTGCAATTTGCAGCTTTATAAGTCAGCCAGGAAAAGTGTTTTGCAACGTGTCCTGAGCTGTGGGAGCTTGGACAGGTCTGTCACAGGGATGCAGAGATGGAGACGAACACCCTGGTCCAAAGAGGCCAAAATTAGTGAGTGATCCCAAGTGGTCCTGGGTGGATCCATCACTCCCGAGAGAACATAACATATACCAAAAAAGTGCTTGGAGTACAGGCAAAATCCACTGACGCGGGAACTGAGGACCCTCCAACCTCACAAGCTCGGTCTCTGGCACATCATTAAGAAATATGAAGCCTAATTCTTGTTTGCTGTTTATTTATCTGAAAGCAACCAAGAGTGTGTCCTGAGGTGAAACCCTGCAAAGATGCAGCAGAGCACAGTTGGCAGACTGAAATTCAGAGGTGAGCTCCCACCAATGCCAACCACAAGCGTCTTTTCATTTAAGAACTTAGTATGTAACTGTTTCCTGGTGTTTTTTGTATCAAAATAGGTCACTTTGCTTCTCTAAATGCGAACTGAAACAACAGCCCCTTTCTGTTCTCTGCTGCTGCCACAGCCTGCTCTTCTCTTCCAACCCATCCAGTGGCAACGGGACCCTCTTTTACCTGCTGTGTGCAGAGGTGTTCTCTTTATCGTGCTCTCCGTGTCCCAGCTGCCTGGGGACACCTCCAGCAGGTACTGAAGGACCTCGGGATGGCCCTCCCGGCTCGCGATGTGGAAGCAATTCCAGCCATCCTTGTTCTTCAGCAGTGGGTTGGCTCCATGCTCCACAAGAGCTTTGATCACCTCCAGATTTTGCCTGGTGCAAGCCATCATTAGGGGAGTCCTAAAAGAAAGATGAGGCAAATATAATAACAGAGAGACAGCGCCGCACGAGCCTGACAGCTTTTGTTCTAACATCTGAGCTTGAAGCCTGGGTTAAAGTTGTCTGTGACGTCCACTGGCCTATCTAATCAGAGAATGGTTTGGGTTGGAAAGGACCTTAAAGATCAACTAGTTCCACCCCCTGCCATGGGCAGGGACACCTTCCATAGCCCAGGGTGCTCCAAGCCTCATCCAGCCTGGCCTTGGACACTCCCAGGGATGGGGCATCCACAGCTTCTCTGGGAACCTGTCCCAGTGCCTCCCCACCCTCTGCAGGAACAATTCCTTCCTGATATCTAATCTAAACCTCCCTACTTTCAATTTAAACCCATTACCCCTTGTCCTGTCATTACAGGCCCTTGTAAAAAGTCCCCCCCCCCAGCTTCCTTGTAGCCCCTTCAGGCACTGGAAGGGGCTATAAGGTCTCCCCAGAGCCTTCCTTTCTCCAGGTAGAACAAGCCCAACTGTCCCAGCCTGTCCCCACAGCAGAGGGGCTCCAGCCCTCTGAGCATCTCCGTGGCCTCCTCTGGACTCGCTCCAACCAGTCAATATCCTTCTGATGTTGAGGGCTCCACAGTTGGACACAGCACTCCAGGTGGGGTCTCACCAGAGCTGAGTACAGGGGCAGAATCCCCTCCCTCAACCTGCTGGCCACACTTCTCCGGATCCAGCCCAGGATCCAGTTGGCTAATAGAGCTCAGTAGCTCTGTGCCAGCTGTGGTAAGATACCCAGAGGGAAAACTGATACGACAAAACCACTCTGAGGTAGCACAAAACTCTTGGCTAAAGGCAAAGACCTTCTCCAAACCCAGGGCTAAATTTATGATCTCACCTGCATTCAGATGATCTGACTGAGGCTTACCAGGCGCTGCATACCGACCTGTGAGATTTTATGGCACTGATTTTTCATGCAGGTAATACAGGGTCTGACTTTTGAGGGACTGTCGAGACAGCTGTTAACATCAGTGTTTCTCACACCAGCCAGTCAGCAAACCACAGACAACTCGGTATGTCCTGGCACTGGGGCATAAGTGTACCAGCAAAGCTTGTCACAGTTTTGTCCTGTTTCACGTGCCTCCAACCCACCTTGGATATTAAAAACATTTTTACGAGCTCCCCAGAGGAACATCATCCTTGCCATCCCACAATTCCTGACCTGTGCCTTCCATGGATTGTGTGCTCCTGGGAATTCAGTGGGTACATCGGACAAATAAACATAGCAACCAGCTCATCTCGCCCCACCTTCCACCCCACATCCAGCAGTGACCACGTTTTCACACCTATAACACACACACTGCAGATTAACAACCACCCCAGCTCCTGCTTGGCGGCAGGGCAGGTTCATTGTTGAGCTTCTTCTCCCCAGTAACCCGTTATCTCCTTGCTCATCTTCCCCATTGAGGGCCAGTGAGGCTGCTGGATCTGCAGCCTCCGTCGGAGGAGCGAGCCAGGAGCCACCAGGATGTGGGCATTAGTAAGGGTTTACTCGCGTGGGTAACTCACGGTGCTGAACCCACAGACTTCCCCCATGTCTGGCTTTAGTGAAGTGACTAATTTCACCGACCTCACCAGCACCAGCCCCTATTTTCCTTAATTATCACATTATATAACGACAATTAATTGCTGCAAGCAGGAGCTGCTTTCTCCATTTTATCTTCACCAGCTTCACCCAGTCACTGAACGCTGGGTGCACATGGATGGGACAGAAACCTCCAAGCTTTCCCAGAAGAGATGAACAGCGCAGAGAGGCCTTATCTCCTCTTCACCAACCCACATACGTTCAGCTGGGAGACCAAAAAAAAACAAACCCTAATTCCTCATTCAGGAAAAGCTGCGGCACAAAAACTTCCCACTGCACATGGAATAAGGACTCGTGGGCCTAAACTGCAGCAAGAGAGATGTGGCTTAGACTTTAGGACAAATGCTTCAGTTGTAAGGACAGGAAGGGAGATGAAATCTCCATCGGTGGAGATTTTAAGAAGAGATAAGACACACGTCTGCTGGGGAAGATGGGGTAGGGCTCAGCCCGGAGCTCCGTGCTTCCTGCAGCTCCGTTTCTACAACCAGCATTTATTTTCAATGCAAATGAGACTTTGTCCGAGGGCTGGGACATGAGCTAGCAGGCACGTAGCTCCTCGTTTTTAATCCTTGGATGGAAGGGTACTGCAGGCCTATCAAAGAAAACCAGGCTCGCACACGCGTCTGCAGGAAGCTCATGAGATCTCTGCCTCCCCCTGCTCCCCCTGATGTCAGCACCATGCTGGCACAGCCTCAAATTACCAGGACTGGGATGCTGCCATTGTATTTATGTCAGTTCAGCTTCCAAACGACCTCCCTGGGCTTTCATTTGCAGGCTGGGGCAAATCTTTGCTTTCTTTTGCAAGGTGGAACACAGAAATCTCCCTCCCCAAGCAGAGAATTTGACATTAATCAGGCCTGTTCTCGTCTGTGGATTAGGCTTTATTTTTTGTTCCCAGTTGTCATTCCCTCATCATTTGCTTACATGTTACCCACAGGGCAGGCAAACAAAAGACCTGAAGAAACCAGCTGTTTCTTGGGTTGTTGAGGCTGTTGCTATTATATCAGTAGCCAATCTCACCTAAGAGGCCCCATTTCGTGGGAGGAAAAAGAAGTCCAACTTACTATTTATCATCGTGACTTCTTATTTCAGTTTCTGAGGACGGGGAGACAAAAAGGTGAATCAATATGATCAATTCCCAACAAACAGGGAAGTGGGGAAGAACATATAGCTGTGGATGAAAGCTCTTTAAACTGGATCTGCTAACGAAGCAGTAATTCACAACTCCTACAATAAACAGCGGGAAATCAGCCATAGGGCTGGAATTTAGCCCAGAAAGCCAGTAGGCTATATCCAGAGCAGTGTGGCCAGGGGGGCGAGGGAGGGGATTCTCCTCCTCTGCTCTGGGGAGACCCCCCCCCTGCAGTTCTGCTCCAGCTCTGGGCCCCAACAGCAGAAGGAGACAGAGCTGTTGGAGCGAGTCCAGAGGAGGCCCCGGAGATGCTCCGAGGGCTGGAGCCCCTCTGCCCTGGGGACAGGCTGGGGGAGTTGGGGGGTTCAGCCTGGAGAAGGGAAGGCTCCAGGGAGACCTTATAGCAGCCTTCCAGTACCTAAGGGAGGCTTTTAAGAAAGATGGGAACAGACTTTCTAGCTGGGCCTGTAGCGAAGGAACGAGGGGTAATGGTTCCAAATGAGAAGAGGGTGGATTCACACTAGATTTAAGGAAGAAACTCTTCCTGGAAAGGGTGGGGAGCACTGAGACAGGTTGCCCAAAGAAGCTCCAGATGCCCCATCCCTGGAAACATTCAAGTGTAGTGATCGCAAAATGATAGAGTTTTCAGTTCTTGGAGAAGTCAGGAGGGGGGTCAGCAGAACTACTCCCTTGCACTTCTGGAGGGCAGATTTTGCCTGTTTAGGAGCCTGGTTGGCAGGATCCCTTGGGAGGCTGTGCTGAAGGGCAAAGGAGTCCAGAAAGGCTGGACATTCTTCAAGAAGGAGATCTTGAAGGCTTAGGAGCAGGCCACCCCCATGTGCCAAAAGACAAGCTGGTGGCGAAGGAGACTGGCCTGGCCAGAGGGCTTTTGCCATAAAAGACAATAAAAAAACATACGGCTAACCAGGGAGGTCCCAGCTGAGTGGAGGTTGGCAAATGTGACGCTCATCTACAAGAAGGGCTGGAAGGAGGATCCAGGGAACTACGGGCCTGTCAGTCTGATCTGACTGCTGGGGAAGGTTATGGAGCAGATCATCTCGAGTGCCATCACACAGCACACGCAGGACAACCAGGGGATCAGGCCCAGTCAGCGTGGGTTTAAGAAAGGCAGGTCCTGCCTGACGAACATGATCTTCTATGACAAGGTGACTTGTTTAGTGGATGAGGGAAAGGCTGTGGGTGTCTACCTGGACTTTAGTACAGCCTTCGACACTGTTTCCCACAGTATTCTCCTGGAGAAAGTGGCTGCTCGTGGCTTGGATGGGTGCACTGTTCGCTGGGTAAAAATCTGTCTGGAAGGCTGAGCCCAGGGGGTGGTGAGTGGAGATAAAACCAGTTGGCAGCCGGTCCCCAGTGGTGTTTGTTCCCCACAGATCAGTGCTGGGGCCAGTTCTGTTTAACGTCTTTATCCATGACCTGGACAAGCGGATTGAGGGCACCCTCAGTCAGTTTGGGGATGACACCAAGTTGGGAAGAGCGCTCTCTGCCCGAGGGTAGGACATCTCTTCAGAGGGATCTGGACAGGCTGGATCCATGGACCAAGGTCACACTGTGAGGGGCAACAAGTCCAAGGGCTGGGTCCTGCCCTTGGACCACAACAACCCCCTGCAACGTTTCAGGTGTGGGGACAAGGGGCTGGAAAGCTGCCTGACAGAAAAAGACCTGGCAGATTGTGACCCAGCGTTGGGCCCAAGAAGGCCAACAGCATCCTGGCCTGCATCAGCAACAGGGTGGCCAGCAGGACCACGACAGTGATTGTCCTCCTGTGCTGAGCACTGGTGAGGCCTGACCTCAAGTCCTGGGGTCAGACTGGGGCCTATCACTGCAAGAAGACTCTGAGGGTCTGGAGCATGTCTGGAGAAGGGAATGGAGCTGGGGAAGGGTCTGGAGCACAAGTCCTGTGAGGAGCAGCTGAGGCAGCTAGTTCTGAAAAGAGGAGGCTCAGGGGAGACCTTATCGCTCTCTACAAGTCCCTGAAAGGAGGGGGCAGAGAGGGGGGGGGGGAGGCCTCTTT